ACTGTATTCAACATATAATCATSATAATTTTTAGAAGCCATCTTTAGAATGTTAAATGGTGCCAGGACATAAGCCTAGAATAGAAATTTTGCTTGTCTGTCCTGTCAGTTTGTTAGGCTGGGCCACAACATACTTTTGGTGTGAGGTCATACACATGTTGCCTCTACAAGAAACAAAACYGATCAGTTCTGAAGCCTTTCTCTATCTCTAGGTCTGTGATTCCCAYTCTTCTGGCCACAGCACTGAATATGACCCATCTGATAATACTATTTTTTCTCTTGGATTCTTTTTTCTTCATTCTTTTCTTCTGCTACTTCCTTCCYAAGATAAGAAGTAACCTTTGTCTAAGGATAAAAATCTTTATACTCTTTTGCAAGGCAGAGGAAATCTTTAGGGCTTTCAGCTATAAAAACCTAATTTGTCAGTTTTCTTCCCCCCTCCCCATCTCTCTTAATGGATCTCTTATGCATTTATAATGTAGACAGTACCACAGTATCTAGGGACCTTATAAAGAATTTATAGAGCAAACATTTTTTTTTGCAAAAAGTTTCTACTTCTCTTCTGGCTATTGCCATTCTCTGAATCAGGCTGCTCTCTTTGATTTGCAGAGGATGCCAAGTTACCTGCTTTACACTCCTACACAGACTATCTTACAGTGTCCTGGCTTTGCATTTGGGATAGTAAAGCTGGTTCACTGGGATTTATTTTAGCAGTTATTAACTATAGAACTGTCTGCAGTAAGTTGTGTTTCTCCATCAGCATCAGCACTAGCAGTTCCTTAGCTCTGCACAGAGCAGTATCTGACATAAGAACCCAGAATGTCCCACTACACCTTGAAGTGGCTACATAAACACTATTTAGCAAAAATAATTCCACGTTGGTGAGGCGGGAAATGTTAAATTTCCATGTCACTAGTAGTAAGAAGCAGAATGCTGCAGGCACCTCTAGGGAATAGCTTCCTCCTCAGTATCCCAAGGATTTGGACTGCAGGATGACCAACCCCTCACAAACACCTAAGGTGTGTGTATGTGATTGTGTGAGGAAGCTGAGTGTACATGATTGTGTGAGTATTCATTCGAGGCCTGATTCTCTAAAGGTGAGCTCTATAATACTGAGGGCTGTTTCTGGATCCAGAATTCTGGTGTCCAGTCTAATYCAGCAGTATCAGTTTGGTTTTTACTCTGCAGTGGTAGTGGGCAGTGTGTTCCAGAGCTGACAGACACCAGCTGAGGGCAGTGCTGGTGCCCTTCATGCTCCGAATCAATGGGTTGGAATTTTTGCTACACTCGTTTTCCACTAATAATGAATCTGTGTAACAGCAACTAAGGAGAAACATTATTTCAACATTCACAGAGCAATTTTCACTGACTTTTAATTCTGAGATAGCCAAAAACAGTTGACCAAAACCCCCAAACCCAGAACCATGGGTGGAGGCCTATCTTGGGATGGCCAACTCCATTCAAAGAGCCTTAGAATAWGCTCCAGGGCAGCAGTGAGGGTGAGCTCTGCTGCTCTCTTGGGCTACCTCTGGATTTGTGAACAAACAGAAAGAATCTGTTAGTAGGAAAAGAACACTGAGTAGTAAGTTGCCAAATTAATGAATTCAATCATTAAGTCAAAATTCCTTCTGTTTAAAAAAAAAMMAMAAACCAATCAGCCAATCAAAATGTGCCACTAAATCGTCCTTGTACTCAGCCAGTCAATGTGCCAGAAGCACTGCCCGTGGTCAGKGCCCTTCTTGGCAGCTCTGGACACTGGATTACCACTGGGACACCCATCACAGTAACTGCTCTGAYTCTCCACTGCCCACCAAAGTTCCCACTTAATGAGTTCAGGCTTGTTAACAGGAATGTTCCATGAGGACAGAGCGCAGGAATCTCCTCAGCAATTTCTGTGAGGAGCAGATGTGGGGATTTGTCCTCCTCACCATTCTGCAGCAAGTTTCCTTCTGCTTCCTCTCCCAGGCTGGATCTCACGCAGGAAGCCTTCATTAACCTGATATTACTGCAGATAACAAGCTTGACTAACTACAAGTAGTCATGCAAATGAAGTCTTCAATTATGCCTCTATAAAATTATGTCCTGAAGTATAAACAGCATTTTTACTAGCTTGTTGAATAAGTGATAAAAAATGACAAGGTGAAAGGCATTGATAATTTAAGATAGTATTTCTCATTTCTATTAAATTATTAAACTAAAAATAATCCTTAGAGTATTTTCAAAATAATCCATTTCCAATAAACTGTTGCAATTTCTAGCTATAAAAAACCTCTTGTGAAGCAAAGTAGTATAGAAAACCACTATGTATTTCAAAAGGGAGCACAGAAATCTGGGAAGTGATCAAGATGTAAACAAAAAAATGAAATGGAAATGAGCATCCAAACCAGTAAAATATATTTAAGTATACACTCAAAAAATCTATTTACAGATCTAAAAACTGTATATTCAGCAAAAATTCTCCCACAAAAAGTATTTAAAACCAAGAAAATTAATCCAATTTCATTGTCTACTGCTGGCAACACAGACGTTTTACTGCTAGTATAGCATTAACTATGTCTTTACAAAGTAAACAAAATTATTCTGGCAAAAATTTAAACTTAAGACTGGACAACAACTACAAGGCATACAAAGCATAGGGAACTGCAAATTCATTACTCTAGTAGTGCAAAAGTGAAGAATAATGGCTTTTTCCCTCCCTCCAATACTTGTTCAGAGAAAAATACTACTGTGAATATGCAACTCAAACTCCTTTAAAAGACTTAAATTTGTAGGACTCAGTGCAAGGCTGACACTATAYAGGAGGTAAATGAAACAAAGTCAACATAAAATATACTGTGACACAAGTTTATACAAACTTTATAGCAAAATGTCTGAATATACAGTACAAACCTCTCAAAAGAAGTTTTTCTCTACCCAGAAATTTGTACATGTTACCACTAAACAACTTGTACATAACTGATAGTGTATGTAACATTCTTTGGAATTACATTTAATTTTTTTTCAAGCCCTGTCTTTTATACAAGAACAGCAAAAGGATAACTCCTCACCTGGATTACAGGAGTGCCCAGTGTTTGTCCCTCAGGCACACGCCCAAGGCTGGGCAGAGACCTGCAGAGAGGTGCAAGCACCAGGAGCTGGAGAAAAACTCCACCTGGGAATGTGGGTCACTGTAGGACGACTTGATGTAAGTCAGTGCAGAAGTGAAGAACTAATGCAGTTCAATTCCTCATCATATATAGCCCAGGTTTGATTGTGTTTTGAAACACRACAGTTCTTTGTCCAAAAAGGCCTCATAATTTGAACAGTTGTAAACATTTCCTTTAGGTTAAATTAGCATTTTCACCATGCCTTTGCYGTTTAAAACATTAACAAAATCAGAAGTAGGAACATCTTAGTTCATGTTCAACCATTTGCAATTCAGAAAACCAGAGGTCTTTAACCAAGAAAATAGGAACAAATCTGCAAATGCATGATTTATTTTGCAAATAGTATTTTTGCTCTATTTCTCAGCTCTTTATCTACCTTTCAGCAAACAACTGAACATCACCCAGTCTATCCTAGGAAAAAAYCTAACAGTATGATAAGGAAGCTGGAAACCAGAGGCAAAAGAGTAGCACAAGCACTTGCATGTATTTTGCCCAACACCAAGTCCATCACTGCACTGCATAGTGGACTCCTGCTCACAAACTCAGGACAGGTCAGGAATTTCACTTTTCCTGTTCCCCTTGATAAACAAAAAGAAAAATACAGATGATRTCCATGAAAATGTAACAGTAGCACGTAGAGATTTACCCATTAAGATCTGTCCATTATAATTAGGGGCAAGTGTTATGGTTGATATTTAAAGCTTTTCCAAAACAGGACTAACTTCTTGACTTCAGATGTTCACAGGGTTACTATCAGGTGTTTATGGGGACTTAATAAAAAWTTTCTAAGGCTCAAGCTGTAACAGCTTATGATGCAATCAGATGAACTTTTATGGAAAGAGAAGTTAAAACAATGGTGATTTTACAAACCAAGTGACTGCCTTTATACATCTATACTCAAGGGTGGCTGGCTAGGAATGGAAGACAGTGATGTCTGCAGGAGGCAGTGCTGCTTTTCTGCAACCTGACAGATGGATGCTCRTTCAACCCAACTTCAAGTATCCAGTTTATGTGAACAAGGAGCTTACAAGTACCCAGCCCAGGCTCCAGACTATGGCTTAGAGGTGCTCTAAGGTTATTCAASAGACATATGGGATTTTTTGCTTCACCTTTGGCACAGGAAAGCAAAACAAAGAAAAATGTGATGTGCTCAATCACAGAAAAATTCATCCTAAAACAGAAACTGTATCAGTCTTCCTCTGGAAATATTTACTTCTCCTTGCTAATGTGAAGTGGAGCACTTCAGGGAACTAGCAAAGATTAAGATGTCTGGCTTTTGGACATGTGAATTTAAATGAGATGACTCCTACCTCTTGTTCCCACATTAGGAACYTAAGTTTGATCCGTCAAGTCCTTACTGACATCAGCCATCTCTTGAATCCGTGTCAGAGCTGTAATCACAGCATTTACTCAGAGAAGACCCAAAGGCATCCAGTCTTCACAGGATATAATTTATCTCTCATTTCTTTATCCCAATTTCACATTATGGAAGGGGTTGGAGAAAGGGAAAGCGGTGTATGGGATGGTGTCTTGCTAAACAACATTGTGTAACACATACTAATGAAGAAACTTACTGGCTGCCTCTTGTAGATCTGAGAAAAATCACCATTTTGAAGTTGGTGGGTACAAATTGCTTTGGCTGTTGTAGCTCTCATTATCTATTTCGAGAGATACTGATGGGTATCAGTGTTAATAAATTCCCTAACTTAGCTGGCTACAAAGCTCAAATGGTATTAGAAAAAGCGATGATGGCAAAGACTTGAAAGAGCAACATACTATTTGCATGTATTTAAATAAAGAAAATAAGTAAGTTATATTTTAGACAAGTATCAGCTACTCCCTAATGTTTTTATTAAAAAAAACACTGATGGAAACACAGAAAAGTAAACTGTAGGTCTGCTGAACTGCACACACATAGGCAAATAAAATATCACAAATTGTACTGTCTTAGCCACTTACTTGTTTCACTCCTTATTTTCTGTACATGAGAAGATGGTGTAAGAAAGCTTTGCAGCTTCTCAGACTGAAGGAAAGGCCATGACAGAATTGATTCCTAGAGTCTCATCCAGCTCTGTAAGTGGAGGGACTAAAAACAGGACTTTGTGGGTGGGAGAAAGATTTAAGGAATACTGAGGATTCCTTCCTGTCCTAAGGGAATATCCATTCCTTCCAACAAACTTTTCTTGTGGTTTCAATACATAATGAACTCATTGGTCCAATTCTGTACTCAGAATTTCACAGAATAAGGTCTTAGGCACACCAAAGACTTCAGATAAACATGGAAACAAGGCAATGCTTGTATTCCCATTTTTTATCTAGCAATTATTTTCYTTGTTAAATCCCTTGGGTTTTATTTTGTTTTGTTTTCTTCAGGAAGCTTTTCAAAATATAAACTAGTAAGAGCCTGGAAAATTCAGAATTACCTAACAGGTGAGGGAAAAACGCTTGGTGCAGTTTTTATTCCACATATGAATTAATCACTGGGACTGTATCACCAGCAAGATATTTAATGTTGAAAATAACACTGAATGTTTTTAAAACTCACTTCAGAACACACTGTATGAGAAGTATCAGGGCACTAGAGGGTTGTTTGACTTCCTTGTTTACCATGGCAAATTTCCCATGATGGCAGCAGAGAACTGAGGTGGGGCAGAAGATGTAAAAGCATATAAAACGAAAGCTTCTTGGTAGCTACTTACATAGAGTAGCTATATATTTTGAGTTTTTTTGGCTCAGTGACTCTACCCCATAATTTCAAGGACATGTAAATTGATTGCAGTAATAGCTTGGTTCCATTCCTGTATTTAAACTGTATAATGGACCTAAATAACAGATCAGCATGGTGTAACATTGACAGGAGCTCCTGTCCATMAAACGCATGTCTCTAAACAAAGGCTGCCTTAGGTAAGATATATGAACATGTGACCTTCTCCAAAATGCATGGTCATATTAAATAATTCTCTTACATATGTACATACAGACTAGTAACAAAATTTAAAATATCAGTCATACCCTCTTCTGTTTAAGGTTGGAATTTCTGACTGTTGCATATAGTGTAACTGCTCAAAGAGYGAAGTATAGAATAAAGTGAGTAGAGCAAACTTTTTCAGAGAAAAATAGTCATATAAAAAGTTTTAATTATTGTACAGTGAGAAAGTTCAGAGTTCTCACTTCATTWTCTCTTTGGTTGCTGATTAAGATTTGACAAGTTTGAAACCCTGTCCTGTATCCAGCACTGTGGGAAGAAACCAACTCATTTTCAGTCTTTTCAAGCACCTAAAGCATGCTTTACAGACCCAGAACAGATTGAGACCACAAAACCAGTTTGCCAAATGTACTAATGGATAGGTGATGCGTGGGAAGTACATCATCCAGTGTTTGGCAACATCACTTCCTGTTGGCAAATGCAAAGTGTAGTCACTCCAGTGCTTTGACACACCATACACTGCTTTCACGGTACGGCCCTTTTCAGACCAGCTGATGTTGCTGTCGGGGTTACAGTTGTACTCAACCCATTGCCTGGTGAAGTCACCAAGCTGTGGCGGGTCTGCTTCCTCGATGTCCACAACTCTGGCCATTTCTGCTCCTTGCACGGCAACATACTGGTCATTTACTTTTCTTACTTCTTTAACCCAAGGCTGAGAGTTCTCACAGTCTAAAACAATGATTAATCGAGAACAAAAAGTGCCATTCTTTTCTCTCCACCATTCCAACAGCGTGTCGAGTCGTAAAGCATCACCCCCTGCCACAAGGACAAAAAGATTTAATATTAGGATGAAGAAACAGAAACTTCTGTAGAACTTTAACTGTTTTGACTGGTTCTAGTAATCCCTTACTTTAACAATTTTTACAGCCATCACAGATGTTTTCAATTGATTCTCTCTGTCTGTAAATGTTGCATATCTCCATGGAGGTATTAACAGCATTTTTCTGACTTGCTGTGGCAGACGAAGCCATTAACTTACCCTTGATTAGAATAAAAACCCACTACAACCAAAAAAACGAATTCCTTCACAGAGTGAAAGAAATTATAGCCAATTGCAAGAAAGATTTTGTAAGAAATCTGGAAAATAGATAAACAGGGAAAGGAAATCTGAAATAAAGTTTATTTTGTATTAAACCTTCACAATTTTAGGAACAGGAAAAGGACTCTTGTTTAGTATGTTTTAAGAATATTTTAAAAAGGCTCCTCTAAGAGACAAATTTAGAACAAAATACATTTTCAAATGCAGGAACCAAAACAGTTTCAAAGTACAATGAGAAAGCCTCATGCAGGCACAAAAATTAATGTGACCACAAATGGAGAGATTCTTTCTATAGAGACAGTTGTTTTCAGAGCATCAAGAAAACTGGTAGGGATTTACAACTTAATGAAACAAAAATCTCACTGGAACTTTTCCCGCAATATTTATTTTCTGTCAGGTCAGAAGACCCTTGCAACTACTGTCCAACTTCCCATGTTCTATCTCAGCTCCTGCTCCAACAGCACTTTGAGAGAAGATTGTAATAAAACCTAAAATGTTACCTATAGTGGGAAGTCCTTCTGTTTAAGTGTAATGGATGCTGCAGGATCTATGTAGCTTTGAAAAGCAGACTACTTACTCAGGTACCTAATGACAACATCAAACAAGTGAATAAAACTCCATTGGCTTCACAGTAGTAATGAAAACAACTGATATGTCTAGGTTTTGGCTAGTTGAAGCTATGATACAGGTTTACAACAAAAACACTCTAGTTTGAAAATTTCAACTTTAAAAAATTAAAAGAAAGGTATAAAAATGTGATTCAAAATACTGCATTTTAATTCCAGAGTAATTTTTCACTRTTGAATGTAATTAAGCAGTGTTTAAAACATTGTTAGCTGCATATTTCATCATTTACAGTCCTACCTGTAACAGGTAACAAAAAGTGTTTCAAATTAGTATCTCAGATTTAAAGTGTTGTGAACGCTATTGAAGTTAAAGTAAAAGYAAGATTACAGAGCTCCAACTTCTCCAAGAAAATGCAAAACTGGAAAATTTAGTACCAAAGAAAATCACCAGGATAGAAACGTCATGACTTGTCTTGATACATGATTCTCAAATTGTTGTAGTTCCTTACAGCAGAGACTTATATAGAAGCAGTTTCCCTTTTCTAAGTACACTTTCTGTGTCAATTATCTATAAAAATTTATTTGTTCACATTTCAAAGGCTTACCAATAAACTTTATTTTAGTGTAGCTGTGAAGGAGTGCAGGCGATTTCCAAACTGCACTGGATAGAATCACCCAAAGMAAACCATCTCATTCTTCACAGACAAAGCAAACACCTGCTTGGCTTTCAACCCTACTGATCTCAAACACATGGGCTTATCACCCAGCACAAGATCTAGGCACCAAGCTGTGTAAGAAATGTAGGTGTCTGGCCACTTTTGGCTCTCCGGCAGGTTTTGCAGGACAACAAGCCAACACTTTCAGGAACAGAGACAAAGCTTCATTAGCCCTCCTCATGCCTTTACCCTCACTCAGAGAACATGATCTCAAAGGTGGTTTGACTGCTCACACTTTATGCATGACYAATTAACAGTTTCTTTTATATGTGTCGCATCTCAGCTTCCAACAAGAGAGAAACTTCATTGTTGATTTAAACAATTCAGTAAGACTCTTTTGAAAGATGTCATTACAAAGCAAAGACTGCACTCTTACTGCTGGGCTGTAGCATGGCATAAGCCAGCAGTGAGAAACTGCTTTTTTTCAGTCAGATATGAATGTTTTATTTCATTGTTGTCATCTCTTTTCATCCTCTTTACAGGTCAGAGGATAGCWTGCATTACTGGAGCTGATGACCAAGGTTCCATCTGTCACAAAACACCAGTGTCCAACACATGGGGCACAATCACAAACAGCCTTCATCTTTTCAGTTTATACTTCCAAGTTACATGCAGGAGCAGCATTGTCTGGAAGGAGTATCATGTTACACTCCATCATTTAACCAAAATTAATCACAAAGAAAGCAAGCAAAACCTGCGACAGCTGYCTGTTCCTCTCCTTTATGTGATTCCACATGTATCCAAGCAGAAGCTGAAGACATGGATGGACAGAGAAATAAAAAGGAGCTCCGTGCAAAAACTGAACCCCACTGCATTTACACACTACATCTTTTAGCACTGAAAGTTACTTTTTATTTCTAACAGTTACCTTGGCCCTTACCCTAAAATCTAGATCTTAATTTAGGTTACAGCTACCTACATGGCTACAGAGAGACCTGAGCTCCAGGCTGGCTAGATGTAGTAAGCCAGGGCTGGGTGGAAGCTGTCCAATTTTTGCAGGAACATTTGGCTCTATACATGCAAGAAAGCTGACTTTATGCTGCTGCCTCCCACACAAGTGGGAGGTGGAGTTTTGCTGGCAGTCTGCTCCACACAAGCTGTGGACACACTCAGCAACTGCCCAGGGTGGCTGCTGCTCCTATGGACAAACCACCCCATTCTCAGAGAAGTCATTTGGCCACCCTGGCATACACTGTAGTTCACCACTCACACTAAGCTCACAGTACAGCTGTGGCTTTTTAAAATCTCTCATACAGATGAAGCCCTAGAGAGAAAATACACACTRCTCTTCAGCAGGTCAAAAGGTTCAGGGATGAAGCTACACCAAAAAAGGTATAGGGTCTCCAGATGGAGACTGACCTGTGCCTGAACACCTGCCTCAGCATGAGCATACACTGAAGGGCATGCCCTGCTGAAAAGGCACAGGCACCTGGAGAGACGTTGCTGACAAAGAGCCTGAAGCTCACAGGCAAAGTGCTATCCAAAAGAATTAATTCTGTCCCAGGAASAAAAAAGTTACAAATTTTCGATGTGTTTACTACAAGACTCCCGTTCTGCACACAGTGACCTCAGAAGCTCAGATCCCTAACAGTAGCAGAGAAAGGCTAAACCTTGCAATGACTTCAGAACTTCATTAAATTTACCAAAGAAATGGGTCAAGAAAGGGGGAAACGGTGAAGTCTACGCCAAGCATGTGACGAGGCATTAAATTGGCCCTTTAAGTAGAAGTTTATAGCCTTGAGGCTACACTGTGCCCACAGTCACTCCCAAACTCCAGAATGCCAGCACACCCTATCTGCTCTTACAATCCAAGGTTTGTTATGTTTGAAGACCTGTGGATTGTTTCTTTTTTCTTTTTCTAGCCTCTTGTTTCTTTTATTGATTCTCTCTTTTACAAAAAAAAAGCAAAGCACATCTTAAGTACATAAATGCAGTCCTTCATGACAGTCTAACTGACACAGTGTCACAGAACACTCTGTAATTCACTCTGCCATGGCCAAGGAATGAGAAAAGATGTTTGTTTATTACAGTGAAAAAATATTCCTCAAAATACAGGGAAAAAGGTCTGTCTTTAGAGCAGGAGAGTGTAATTTCCACTTTTAATTCTATGCAGAGAAAAAAGCAATCTTTAAAGTTAACTTGCTGAATATGAAAATCATGTGAGGTGAAAATCAGGGAAGTATGAAAATCTGTTTAAACTTGTAAGAATACATTTGGGGTCAACAGTATTTAGATGATTTTGCGAACAGGTGTAAGATTAGCTAGCTATAAAAGGATTTTTATCTAAGTGAGTAAATACTAAAGTGACATAAAGTTCATGAACGAACATACCTGACTGTCATACAATGCCAGGGAGGGAAAGAGCTGCCTCTAAACAACAATTTTGCTGCATACCAAAGGGGTTTCTGCATTTCTCTATTCTCTCCACTAGCAGAGGTCATCAGCCTTATTATTTTCTCAATTCCTTGCAGTCTCTGAATCTCTTAACACTCCTACTCTGTAGTATTACCTTTTTCTTTCTTCCCTCACCACCAGGAGCTTGTATAAACCTGTTCTCCAAAGAGTTACGGTTCTTTGCCATTCTGAACAATCTGATAAGTATAAGCAAAATTTCCCAGTTTTGCAATACAGTATGCTTTTCTACAGAATTAATAAATTGATTTGGAAAGTTTATCAATACCAAAATAATRAATAAAAAAATTCCCCAACCAGTTACCTGCCAGAGCCCATTCACCAGTGCCATGTGAGTGACCACTGTAATACAGAATGTAGGTATCATGTCTGGGTCCATCTGCAGTCCGAAGCTCAAGAAAAGACTTGATCTTGGAGTGAAGGGTATCAAAGGTCAGTCCACTTGTAGAGTAGTCACAACCATATGTCTCAATCATGTGATATGCAAAAAATCTTTGGATGGCATTAAGCATGCCAGTAGACCTCAGATTTAACTCTTGTACATGCTCAGGTGGAAGAAGAGTAGGTTGGCCATCAGGACTAAAGAGAAAGAAAACAAATAATGATTAAGGTTGATAACTATTTCATGCTTAGTGGACTTTTAGCAACTGGTGATTTTTTTTCCCTGTGCATATTTTCTCTGCTATGAAGTAGCACTGTCCTAAATCCAAATTCACTTTTAAATTTACAGTTTATAAACAACTCAAATTACTGTATTTGAGTGAGGGACCACTGTCTCCTTTCTGTCACACTTCAAAGCACAGTACTTTCTCAGCCCTATGCTACTTCACCAGCTGAGAGACAGAGGGAGAGAAAGGAGCTGCAATGGGAAGAAGCTGGGGAGGGCTCCAACGATTTCATAAACTCCCACTCTGGAGAACTGCCTTCACATAGGCACTTATTTGCACACAACTGGAAAGAAGTACATGGAAAATGAGTGCTAACCTGCCCAAAATATAATGCARACTAGATTCCAATAACGGACTAAAGAGAAATCCACATTCACACTTTGCTCACATATTTTGAAATACAGAACTCACACAAATACAGTAATTCTTTCTTCTGTGTGCTGTTCAGATACTGTTCTTTCAGAATAAGAAATAGGTTTCAGATAACAATATTCACAGCTTACAAAATCAAAGTTTTAAGAAAGTTACAAACTAGACCTGGAACAAACCATGCATGTGTATTTGTATCTACACAGATATGAATATGCATATATAAAAAATTAAGGAGTCCCTGGGTTAAAAAATGCATTTTATTAATACTAACATAGATAGATATTATACAAAATATAGATAAATATGTAATATATAAACCCAAATATACATAGCATATAAAATACAGAATAAAAATACACACAATTTTTTTCATGTCTACACAGCTATTCATTAATCATAAAAATAGGAGATTTGGTCTTCCAAGACCCCCAGTTATGGGAGTGCTCTTCAAAATATATTTTCAGAAAGACAAAAGCATTCATCACTCTTCAGCTGATATAATAAGAGTAACAAAAAGGAGCAYGACTGACAGCTGGGCCAAACGGGCCTCATTTATGCTCAGTTACAGACATGGAGAGGTTTGGTGGGTGAAAATATGCAGATATGTCTTACTCTACTAATACAAAACATGACGTTATGGTTTTTTTCTATAGATATGYATGTATGTGTGTATTCTTCACGTCTTTTGTTTGCAAGTCAGTGTGTAAAGCTACCTGGTCTCTTTATTGGTCTAGCTAATTAAATTTTCAACCTCCTCACCTGTCTAGGCCTTCCATGAAGGGTAATATTCCACTATAGCTAGCCACAGTATAGCCAGTATATATTCTATATAATATAGCCATTACTATAATATTCCACTGATTAGCTCATCATTACTGTTTGTCTCAGCGAGTGAAGACTGGGCCCATCATTGCAACAGTCAAGCTTTGTTTATAAGGAAGCTTAGTTCTGTCAGGTCTTAAACAGTTGCTCAAGAGTATCCCATTTACTCATAATTAGAGGGAACTGCCTGAGCCAGAATAATATAATACAATGAAAGAATTAAATTGTTACTATGGAAACAAAATTGATTTATTTTTATTGTAACRTAAATTTTGAAAATTTATTTTTTAAATCCATAACAATAATTGACATGGATTTTATTAAGGGTGTACATGTGAAAGACTAGATCAGAAGCTCTGAAAATGTTTTTTCAGAATATTTAAGATACAGTAACCTAAGATTAGCACACTACCTTTGGTTTCTTTGATGCTAAGTTCTTCCTTATCCACTGAATCCATTACACATATTGAAGCCGTGAGGTTTTTATAAATGGGGCAGCTCTATTTTGAAGCCTCTCATTTCAATCTACTACTCTGTTTCTCTTGTAACTTGAAGAGATAATGTATATAGCTCTTGTTTATCATTTACAAAAAAATGTGCACACACCAGTTTTAATTTTATGGCAAAAGCAGCATTTTCAAGTTTGAAGTTTAGAAGAAAAACACATAAATGGGCAAATAATAATACTACAAGCTCTCCACAATCATGCATTTCTCACATGGTAACATTTATGTTGGAACAAAAATCAACTGCAAATTTTCAATACCAATACATGACATGTAGTCCACTTGCAAATCTAATTTCAATGAACTTTAAATTTATACACCACTTCATACAATAGAATTCAAAATTGCTTTGAACTGATCTGTTTGGTTTATTAAATCTCCTCATGTAAGATATCTGCTCTCAGTCAAATGCCCCAATCCTCCTTCGTGTGAGATATGGACCATGAAATCTGTCTATGCCCAGCTGGTCTGTATTCATTGGCTTTCTAAAAGCAAATTACTTAGATAGAAAGTGGATTTACTCATTCCAGGGTGAGAAAAAGGAAAAATAGAAAATCTGCCTATTATTTAAATTTGTATTTTATTGCTGAAAAATCAAAGCAACAGCATTGCATTGCCTCCATGAACAAAATGTACATTTAAACTACTGTGAAGCTGAAAAACACAGTAATCATACCTGCARAAGTTGGTGGGAATCACAACAGCATACCCAACACACGTTCCTCCCAAGCAGTTTCCCAATTCATGGAAAAGCCCATGAGCCATGGACTCCAAAGGTAAAACGATGAGAAATGCACTCATGAAGATCCCATTGGTTGGCTAAAAAGAATAGAAAGRGATTTAGGCATTGCATGAAAATCCCTCTGTTTGATCACAAATAATTGATTCCTGAAACATGCAAAGTATTATTCGTAATTTATATTTATTTTTACACATATTAAATGATGAAGTATTCTAAAGACAAATTAAATGCTTGGGGAGAAGGTGGCTGTTAACCAAGGATCACTCTTCCAAAAAGAATGCATTTGAAAACACTGACAGCACAGGACTTAGCTGTAAAATCTGTGATCATAGCTAAGTTTTATCAACTGAGGCAAGAAAATCAAATGCCACAAAACTAATTGTGTGCATAGAATAAGATCTGTAAGCACCTGCAGGGTCAGGCCTTAATCAGCAAGGTAGAGCACATATACTATGTATCTAACATCAGGTGAGAGCACTGCATTGCACCCATCTCTGGAGGTATTTAAAAGACACACAGATGTGGCACTTTGGGAGCTGGACTTGGCAGTGCTGCGTTAATGGATGGACTTGATGATCTTAGAGGTCTTTTCCAACCTAAACCATTCTGCGATCATTAAAAACATAATTTAACTGCTCTTGCTTTTTAACACCAAGTTTTGAAAACATTCTTTGTGGAATAGTAAGTATCACACAGAAGATAAATTCTGAGAACATTTCTGAACATTATTTCAACTAAAAAGACAATTCTTTGTTGGTTACAGAAATACCAGATGAGAAGGAGCATCCACTACAGGACTTATAGCATTCACAGAGCTAATACCCTGGATTGAGCTTTCCTATTTTGTAGGGAAAAATCTTTTGGAAAAGATTACACTTTCTACAACATATCTGATTTCTGTTACAAAAAAAACCAACAAACCAAACCAAGAAGTCTCAACAGTTACATCTCGACCACTAGTACTTGCAAAATAAAACTGGACTTCTGAAATGCCAGATGTCCCTTGAGATGCAGAACACATAAAGATAAATTTTAATTATTTTAGTATGATGTGAATGGGTTTAATGAGGCATTACATGCTTTAGGAAACGTAGAAACAGTATTATAATATATAATTGAGACCGTTAATATCCATGGTGCATTTGTTAAATATTAATGTTTGCTATGGAGCAAAGGAAACAAATTATTAGCTAGAGATTTCTGTCTTGAGCAGAATCCTGTGATCTCTGACCCTCTTTATCTTTTACTCACCCTCTTTGTATAAATCTACAATATTAATGTTTTGTTTTTTTTTTTAAATCTGGACATTGCATTACTGTGCAAAACTCAATGACTTAATGGGGAYTAGTAGTTCAACTTAACACACAGTCAACACTATTAATAATTTGGAAAGTAGATTATACTGAAAAAAATGACACCTAAACCAACCAAGATCTTGTTGGCATATGGSACTAGCTCAGTTTTTCAGTTTTTCAACACAATGAACTTAGCCTGAAAGAACAGCTTTAACCATCTAATGTGCTTCCTGCCAAAGGAAGAATAGTTTGTTACCTGTCCTGGTTTTAAAGTGTCCCATAATATTTCTGATGAAATGGTGGCTGTAGTAATCACAAATTAACACCAGAATCTGATATTAAATTATAACTAACTGCTAGCATTACTGATAGCATTAATTACCTGAAATCATTAGAAGACAGAAAAGCTTAGAACACTGCAACAATTATGGTTCCACCGTAATTTGTTTTGTTGTCAATATGGAGAAAAGAAATCCTTTAACTAAGAAAATATAATCTTTGTTTCAAATGTATCAGCTGCAAGTGCTCCTCTTTGTTGCTCCRTTTCCCCACACTGAAGAAGACAGTGGCAGTACCAAAAACTTAGAAAGACCTGGTTAGGTTTTTTTCTGCAGAAACCTTGTGAAGTATAAGACTCTGGTGAAAGAGCAGAGTTCTCTAGGTAAATGAGTTTCAAGACTTGGAGACTTAGTTTTCTAGCTATAGATTCCAGAAGGGCAATTTGTTCTAAGTTACAAAAAAAAAAAAAAAGAAGGAAGAGTTGGATTCTGCAGAAACTGAAGGGCTTCTCTGGAAAACCTTCCTATTTGTGATCAGTTAGTTAGACCAGTAAGTATTTTTGTGAGCTCAGCTTTTCCATCATATATAAATATCYTCTCTTGGATTGCATTAGTGTTTCAACCACAGTAAACACACTACAAAATAAAAACCCCATTTGCCCATAAAAACTAGAGCGATCATAATATGCTAATAATACTATTATTAGTTTACATTAATTTTATTGTAGTTTTCTTACAACATGCCATCTTGTTCTAAAGGCTCCCTGCATTTCCCCAATCTCTTAAACACGTCCAAGTTATTTAAACCACAGCATTCTGCCACAATACAACTTGAAATTATCACAAAGACTCACTCTAACTCCTAAAAATATTTAAATTTAATCGTTGAAAGTGCTCCTATTAATATAAAAATACTGGCAAAGAAAATTCCCAAGTACTTGTGAGATAAGGATCTCACACAGAAACTCTAAGGAGTTTGCTTTCAGTTTGTACAAAAATTATAACAGGAATGGGAAATTAGCTCTATGGTGCTATGAATCAACTCAGCTCCATCTGAGGTTCCAGCTGTGCCCTCCATTAGTGGCCATCTTAYGCTATGGAATAGGAAAATGTTGGATATTTTACATCTATCTAATGTAAAGATGCTGGCACTCCTGTCAGCACCTTTTCAACAGTTTTGATTTAGAAGAACTATGTCACTAACAAATGTAAAAATGACTAATGATGATTAGAACAAATCTATAGTAGAATAATAAAATACCTTAATTCAGCACAGGAAAAAGATGACTGGTGGCATTTTAAAATACCTAAACTMTAAGAACTTTAAATAGCAAAAAAGAATATATAATTTAGTAACTACTGTAAAACTGAAGATAGGTTCCTCCCTTAAGATAAAAAGCTAAAAATCCAGGTGGTGACTGTCAGTGCTTTATTAAATCCCAAAGATCTGACGATTGGTCCTTAATGAAGCAGATGGCCATGAATGCACAGGCAGAGCCAGAAAGGGATTTTGTTCTTTCATCTGTTCAATCACTTTTCATTGTTTTTGACTGCACTAGCAATATGAGTCTGCAGTACATCCCTGAACTCCAAGTGCCCATTGATTCCAGACAGACTGCTCAAAAAGCAAGCAGAAGGTATGAACCATCTAGGCAATCCTACTAAAAAAAATGATCAGAAATAATTTTATCTCTTAGTCTTTGGGGTTTTTTTGCCTTTGTCTGTCTTGTTATAAAATAATTAACCATGAAGTCTCATTTCAAATAATGTAGAAAAGGTAAAAGAAAAAAATCGACTTTTTGCCTCAGATGATGGACAACAAAAGAYTGGCGAGATTTCATTTCTAGCAGTATCTTTCCATTTTCTGTATTTTTTTTGAGCATTGTTTATTGTTAAATGTAACTCTAACACCAGAAGAATTTAGAGGCATTTTACAGCCAGGATGCTAATTTTATACTCAGGATAGGACAATTTCCTTTCCAAGGAATAACCACTGTTTGAAGCAGAACAACTCTGGAACTGTATTTAATTAYGGATGTGTGACTGCTGAAAAAGAAGGGAAGAAGAAGAAAACCCCAATGTGCTAAATGTTAGCTTAAATTGGAAGCCAATTACAAAGACCTAYAGAAGAGCTCTTCTGTTTAAAACAGAAATAAAACACTAAACATATGTCAACTAAGACGATCACAGGATCACAGAATGGTTGGGGTTGGAAGGGACCTGTGGAAATTGGTCTAATCCATTGYTCCTATAGCAGGTTGCCTGGGATCATATCTAACAGACCAGTAACTGAGAAAGCTTACAAAGATGCCTTTGTGTATTTCCAAGCAAAATTACTGTCCTGCTTTCCATTATCCAAGTTGAATATTTACCTGTTTTTATACACAGACACACAGATACACAAAACCTCCCAAATGAAAGAAGTATAGAAGAAGTGTACCCTCTATGACAGAGAAGGCTCAGGAGAAAAAGGGGTAACATGTGAACTAATCTGCAAGTATTTGATGAATGGCTTATTTAAAGACAAAGTTTGTAAAGCTACAAAGTAGATCAGCTACAGGAGAAAAGAGTCTTAAAACAAGTTACTGAATGAACAACAGTCTGTGGAGATCAGTAAATAATTCTTTACTTCTGACTATGAGAACAGCAGTGGAAAAATCTAGAAAACAGTTTGCAGCAAACAGTTATCCCATTCACTGGTAGATGGATTTAATGTACTATGCTTTCCATCCCTGACTCCTGTTCTAACCATGGGAAGGCCAGTGCTTTAATCCATGCGCATTTGTCCCCGCAAAACCACAAGCAGTTATCAGTTTAAAAGCATACTAAGAGGACTTCTCATGTTTTTAAGTGCAAAAATGAGAATCCTGAAATTAGTGACATTTTGACAGCAAGCTTAACACATAATACACTCTTYAGACTAACAACGAATACTTTGTCTTGACACCACAGATCCCCTTCAGAACTGAGGGGCTCTGTGGTGGTGGTGGCAGCAGCAAGGTGTGYTGCCACTGTGCATTTCAGCAGACAATGTGAGGTAGCCCTGGGGAAGAACTGAAGAGGTAGAGAGCCACGAAAAGCTGAGTACACATTGAAGAGAGGAAGACAAGCAGCAAAAAAAATGGGATAGAGGATGAGTTTGAGAAGAAATTATGAGCCATGAGCAAGGGAGACTTAGGATACAGCTTAAGAACTGACAGAAGAGTAGGAAAAGAGGGAATAAAGGTATTACAAAATAAACTCAAGAGAAAAGTCTTTAAAATAACAGGAAAGCACAGATAAGGAGGGCATATCAGCAAGGARGGGAAAAACTGGCAGTGATGAAAAGAAAGGGGAGGAAGTAGAGATGACCAGASAGACAGATGAAGAAAAGCAGGAGTGGCATGGGTATTTGAGAAAATATGGAAAGAGGCCAGAGGATGCAGCAGAGCCTCTAGCAGAAAAACCCAACAGAAAATAGCCATGAACAAGCAAAGCCTGAGGAGGATTGGATTAAAAATCCAAGTCAAGAAGAAAAGCAGGGATAAAGAGAAGGAGAAAGACTGGATATAATTTGCATTCGGAAGTCATTTAACATGTGATGTTAACAAAAGTATGTCCAAGTAAATGTACGTGTTACTGAGAAAACYTCTTACTATTCAGAAAATAATCTTGTTTTTATAGCAGTTAAAAGAAGTCACCATTTTCAAACTTTATTATGGCATTGTAAATTAAGCTTTCAAGAAAGCCCAGGCAACCACCCCAGAACAAAGACTACAAGATCACTAGTTCTCCCCCAAGCAACGAAGTACTCATACATRAACTAGTTTTGTCTCCTATAAATAATTCGAGTTAAATGGTACTGTCCATTTAAGTATGAGTACTCCGGTATATAAGGAATACTATTATTTTACTAACCCATAAAATTCACTAAAACCAAGACTAATGTACTGAAAGTACTTAATTTCATTACTTTACCTGCTCTAACATAGTTAATTTTTCTCCTGGTAATATTCAATACAAGTTTTCCAGGGATCATAATTCTCTTTGGCCAGTAATTCAGAAAACCTGTGGTTACCTTGGCATAGACCACTTAACAAATCTGGTTTTAAATTTCTGAGAAAAGGAGTGCCCCAAACCTTTCCAAGATCTTTGTCTGAAAATAACAAGCTCTTCATCTGCAAATTTTTCATCATTTTATCGGCTTCTGGAAGTCTGAGTCATTTATATGACTTCTGCTGGATCTTGTCCCATCCAAGGGCCTAATTACAAACACACACACGAYTAATTGCTGAAGTAAGTTGGCACTAAAGAGCCTATTGATGTGACTGAAATTACTCACACAAATGTAAAGGCAGGTGCTGAACATTTCCTGCAGATTTTGCAAAGGAAATGTTAATGTATTTCTACCAACAAGACAACAGTCTTTCTCTGCAGCTATAACAGGGATTATTCTCAGAAGCAGACCATGCCCAAGMTGAAACATGCTCCACTGTAAGAAAAGCTGTTAGTCCATTTTTTAATGCAACCAACTTTAACACATCACTTTTACAGCTCTCCCTAAGCACATATGAAAGCAGCAAGAACACAGACTTTAAACCCTAGTCTTATTAYAAGGGCTATGCTCCCCTTAAAGAAACGCTCCTTGGCTGACAGGATTTTTAGCCTCAACAGCTCTGCATTAAGAAGAAAACCACTGTCTTTGCTACAGCAAGTTAATTCACCTCACTTTAAAAATCTTTCCACAAAAGGAGATTTGATATTTTTCTGGCAATTTTAATCAAATAGGATACTTCTAGACACCAATGAGCAGACAACTGGCACTTCAGGTCTTGACTTTTCATACACTTGAGATTTATATGAAGCACAGATATTACAGTTATTAGAAAAATAAAGAGTGCACRTATAATGTGCTTGCAAGAAAGTTTTGCATGAAAGGGAAGCCCCCTCTCCATCACTCCATTTCTGGCTACAAGTTAAGATTTTTTTAGATGCTATTGCTAATTATTGATAGCTGACTGTTACGAAGCACCTTTCCAAGGCTCAGGTGCTTAGCAATTCTGTTCATAGGAGGTCAAATGGCAGACCATGAAGCGATTTCAAGCCACCTCTCTTATCAAATGCATGATCATCAAACAAGTTTTCAGTAGGGAGGAAAAGTATAAACAAAAAATGCTCCACCTTCCAGGCAACATATCACAGATTTCAAATATAATTTACACTTCCTGAAACAACTATATACATCCCAAGGTAATGTTGCAAAGACTGAAAATTGTTAATCTTACACATACACAAGTTGYTTTAAACAATCTTTAAAAGAGCAAACACATTTTCAAGTACTGGTGACTGAGGAATACTTAGCATTCCTAAGAAACTCTAACAAAAAACACATTAAAAATGTAAGTTTAAAAAATTTCCTTAATATAACAATGTATTAATTTGCACCACAGGTCCATCTAAAAGAATGTGTGGTCTCCAAAGAAGCGAAACGGATGCCTGTGAAAGATTGTAAGGACAGACCAAACACACTTCCCAAGTCCTCTAACCATGGTGGCTCAAGAACTTTGTGAGCTACATGTGGTTTCCAAATGGCACACAGACCTCAGTGAACTTTGTTCAGCTTCCTCCTGAGCCTCTGCAACCACGGGGCACACATGGGCATGCCACAATGCACAGCCCCAGAGCTCAGCACAGTATGAAGAACTATTCCCACCTGTCTGGCTCCAACCTGCTTCTTGACAACTGGATTGCCCTCAACTTTTGCAATGAACTGATCAAGTTTACTGGCTATTAATATTTACCTTCTTCCACATCACACATTTTATATGTTCATCACACTCTCACTCAGTTTTACTTTCTCCTGACTGAAGCACCCTTATTTATTAATTCCTTCCATATAAACTCTTTCATGTCTACAATGAATTACATTGCCTTCAATGGACCTTTGCTTGTTTTCTTATCGACAGGATAGCAAGTATRAACTGCACAGTTATTCAAAATATGAAACTTACGGATTTATACAGTGGCATAATAATAACCTCCAATCCTTTCCTAATAATTTCCAATATTTAATTTGCTTTTTTAGTCACTAATAAACACGAAACCAATCTTGAACTGGAAAAGCTTCTTACACAGCCTTACAATCTCTCCACATACTAATATTAGTAGTAAGGYTTTCTTAAAAACAGAACAAAACCAACTAAACCCTCAAATCCAAACCCACTAGATATTTAGCAATAACTATTTTTTTTTCAAGAGGAAAGGCAAAGATTGATCTTTAACAATTAGATTTGTTTCTTTTAATTATTACAATACATGTAAATCACCATAAGAAAAATACATATTCACTGAAGAAGCTTGTTTGGTGCATTACTGTTGAGCTTGCTAGACCTCCTGAAACAGCAGACTGAAAAATCCAGCAAAGGATTCCAGAGTCTTAAGGCCTTGAACTCCCCTTACAAAGAGGAATAAATTCCTTGCTTTCCTTAAATCTCTAGGAAAAAAGCAAATGCCCTGAAAGAGGGTAAATTGTGTGCTTCTACTTCCCTGCTTTCTTATTTCTAATTATTGAAATCTGACACTATCCAGCAAAATACAGAAAAGGCCACAGCTTCCTGCAATCACCATAATGATACATCCATTTATTAAATTATGTTTTCCACATGCATAATGAAAGTATTTCATTTTCCAGTAACGGATGAAATAGACAAATCATCTGCAAGGTGAACATCACAACATCTTCTGAAGTAGAAATACTTCTAGTTGGCGCAACTGCACTCATAATCTTAAGACACTTCATTACTAAAAACACACAGTGAAAGAAATATAAATATAATAGGAGAAATAGAAATGCAATTATCTACAAAAAAAATTACTATCATAAACCCCTGGATTTTTTGACAAGTGAAAGTATTGGTCTGATGCCTTTCACGTTCACCATTACAATTAATCTTCCTACTGAATAAGCAAATACATATTTCCTCAACAAAGGCGATGACCAACAGCCTATTTTACTTAAACACAAGATGCCAATAACAAATACTAAGATTTAGCTGGATTACCAGTTTGTTTCTTGTGAACAGTCCTGCACAAATCATTTTACAGCACAACAGCATCTCTTCAGAATCACAGAGGACAAAAATTATCAGATGTGGAACAGTTACAGTTATTTTGGGACAGAGGACAKAGGCAGAAAAAAATGACAATGAATGGATTCAAGCAATGTGAAGAGCAAAAACTACCAAGAGGGGTATGAATCCAATCCTCCTCGGTTTCACACACACAGCCTGCAGTAATGAAGACATTCTAAAGATGAACCTGTGTTTTAAAACAGATGGCAGGGGGAGATGGAGCTCTTCCCACAAAGGGCTACACCAGGAGATCGCGCCCAAGCCTGGCTAACTCCCTGCAGTCAGGCTCTGGGGAACACCAGGAAAAATGGCCTCTTTCTCATACGCTATCTGGACATCTTATGTCCCATGATTTGTTCTGCTTTGTTCTGTAGTGAGACTACGGAGCCACTAGGTGGCGTGACTCCGTCTAAGGGCAAGAACAGAGAAATAATTTAAAATATCTGATAGATATGGTAAAAAAAAAATGTTTTCACTGAAAAGCAGACAACTAGTATATAAAAATTAAAGTCTAGCATTTAGATAAAATCACACAATGCTCAGGAGAAAAAGTATGGAAGTCAGCAATATTAGCATGCTTGCAGTGGTCTATCTTTGTAATTTCTGTCTCTCAAACAACTTTGCCATTTCTTTAGGTGCCGTCAGCACTGCTGCTTTCTGTAAGCACATTTTGAGGATTTTTCTTCTCTACATTTTTGGTTCTGTTTCCTTCTGTCCTTTCTGCAAGTCCACACACCATAGCTACAGTGTGATAAGTGCTGATAATTGCTAAAAAAGAAGCAAAACTACCCAGTGTTCCTTGCAGGCTTACTTTAACATGTCACAGTCAAGGCAGCTCAAAGTGTTAAGTTCAAAGCGTGTGATGGTAAAACGATGCGAATTTCAACTTTGAATTGCTAACTCACAGCACACCATCAAATTTTAGGAATTTTATGGAGCAGCACTCTCAGGATTATTGTCAAGAGGAGACCAAGATAAAGAGATTACTATTTACCTGCCAAGAGACGGCTCCCAAAACAGCAGTCGCGACAAGGCTGAAAAATACCAGCTGCTCCGAGATCAAACAGAAGTGGCGCATCCCTTTAGATGCCATGACTCTGTCCAGGCTGTTGTTTTCTGCACGGTGGGTATAGTACACTTTGTGGCAGTCATTTAGTTTTGTGTGAAATCCCCAAAGAGTTATAAAAAAAATCACATGACAGATCATCCAGAAAATTCCAAAAATAGAAAAACCAGGTATCACAAAATACCAGAGATCCAAATAACATAGTTTAAAGGCTGCAAGAATGAAAAAGATTAGTTCAATGACCCCAACTGAGATGACAGAAAGCCGCCTGCAAATTTTACCACGGTACAGGTAGGGCTTCCATCGCTCAGTAACAGAAAGTCCACTGAAGTAAACGTCAAGGAGGGGATCTGAAATCAGACAGCTGAAAAAACATGCCAAGGCAAAAGGGTTTGTGGGGATTTTCAGTGATGGAAAAAAGAGCAGGGATGCAATGGCTCCAAAAATTGCCAAATTTGGAATTGCCAAAAAAGACTTCATACGTAAGTCAATAATCAACATGGCCAAAGCCAAGACCAGCAGAATAATACTTACAGATTTTTCTACCAGCATAGTTGTGCTGGCAATTGCAAAACCAACTAACTCCAAAAATTCCACCGTTGTCAGCAGAGTTGGTCGATGATGGACACAACCGCAAATCCTCTCAACTAAAGCACATAATATCCTTAAAACGATGGCAGAGACAAGCAAGTATTTTGTAGCTTCTTCTTTCACATCCGTTTTGAAGGCAGAATTATTGAGAAAACAGAGAAGGCCAAGCAAAAAACCAAACCAAAGATTGGAGAGACTCAAACTTGCTGTTTCCATTGAAAAATAGTAGTACAGTATGCTGGCAATTCCAAGAACAAAGAGCCCCAGAATAAATATTACCAAAATCAGTGCATCTGCAGTTTTTTCCCATCTGACATAAAGGCCCATGCAAATGGCAACCAGAAGGTTGATTCGGGCAAGATAGCCAAGGTATCTGACCGATGAGTGCATRTTCACTTCTCTGTTTGCTTCTTCCAGCCTTGTCATTGCTGCATAGAGACAATGACTAACACAGTAACGCAGTGACCTACACATGTAAACTGCAGTTAGGGGGTTTCACCCACTTGACTGACAATAAATATTTGGGTTTCATGCAATGAACACAATACAATTGCTGCCTTCTGTAATATCATTTCAGTAACAGTGGTCCGGAATCCTCAAAGTCCTGGAAGAGAATGAAGAAGTTTTAGTGGCAAAGACTTCCTTTTAATCACACAGAACATAAACATCTTATCTCACAAAGAAGTTTAGTATATAGATTAAAAAAAAAAACACATAGAAAAGACCAATTAAGTGTGTTGTGAAAAACAATATAAAATGGGTTCTGCGTATTTCATAACTTAAATGAAAGGGAAACAATCCTGGCCAGAGCAGTTTTCCACAAAACTCATCTATATTAGATATCTATGGATATCCAAAATCCTTTCATGATAGACACTAGCTTCTAGAACACTTTATAATAATTTTAAAACATTGTTTTATTTCACCATTACATTTGGTAAGTTCTCACTTTATAGTAAATCTTTTTATCATGCTTTGCAAGACTTCGTTTTAGCAGTCAAAGTATATGATTTACAAAAAGAACTTCCCACTCTGTTAATGAGCTTAAACCACAGTGAAAAAGATATCTCCATTTCACAAACGGAGAGTGGACACACAGATGTATCAACTGGTCTGGCATGATTTTCAGAGATTTCTCACGATGTAAATAACATCAAAGCCTTCATTTTCACCCCTTTAAGCCAGTTTGCCCACTCCTCCAAAAGAAAGCAAACAAAATGATGAGGACAAATACTACATTTAGAGCACAAGCACCTCCTACTCAGATCCATTAAAATGACATGCTTTTAATACAGTTAGGGACCATAGTATTTTTAAGGGGAATTTTGTAATGTTACAGGCGGTCTTCAACACATAAAAAGACTATTATGTAGCCTCTACAATTTTTTAAGCAATTAACTAATTGCCCATCTTACAGAGACTTCTGAAGAGTTACTGGTATGACAGAGAAACCAATGTGCCAAAAACACTCAGTGCTAAGTTATAGCTTACTGCTTTTATTTATAATGCTGGGGCAAGTATTAAAAGACATCTTGACTCAAACTCAAGTTTTAGATTTTATTATCTCTTGATTTTTAAATTCTCATTTTTAAACCAGTGAACAACAAATGATAAAGTGAATTGACTGATTTGCACATAAGTTTTGGCAGATTTGAAGACTGACACACACTGTAAAGCCAGTTTGAGTAACTGGTGCAGAGAAAAACTAGGCCTAAGAAATCCTATTGTTTAGATTCCTTATTTGGTAGCATATTTTCAAATTATGTTAAATACACAACAACAATGCAGACACTACTTGATATACATCAAAAATCTGTTTACTTGATGCAGAATACACATAATATATTTAAAGCAAACTGCTATTACGTGAAGTTATTACAAGTTAAAAGTTCTTAGGATTTCAACAGTGCAGTTTCATAGTATTCATTATTATCAGTCTTTTATAGGTATTAACTTATTCCGAGTTGCCTGGATGCTTAAGATCTCACAATATTTCTTCCCTCACTTAGTAAGGTATTTCCTGTTCCTCTCACCCTTCCATTTTTTTCTACATTATACAGACAACACAGATCCAAGTCAGCTTTCATATTCCAGGTCATGATACTTTAGGTTTCATAGCATGGACTACAGTCTCACTTTTTCTTGTACTACAATCAAGATTCATTTCATGGACAACTCGAAACATTTATTTCAGCTGCTATACATGCCTTCCCCATGCCTCCAGCTCACTCTCATTCAAACCATGAACACAGAGAAACAATCTCCCATCTCCTTTCAACCCACAGCACTGCCATGCGATTACTGGTACWCTGAGGCACATATGCCATGTCATCCCTTTTATCTTGATTCCTGAGCCTTCCTGGAACCCCTCCAAATCCAGAGGCTAACCCTATAAACGTTCATTTGGACACCAGCCCCACACAAGCCAGCTGGAATGAGCCCTCTACACATGAGCAAAGGGCAAAGCTCCCGCCTAACACCTGGCTTAAAATTTTGCTGCGACCACTACATTGTTCTCTGGTGGGATCATTAACAGTAGCAAACTCCCTTGCAGGCAAGCAAGGAGCCATTCTGACAGAACACTACTGTCACTGGTTCAGTTCGTGCCAAGTGGAGTTTTGCTGCCATCACACCACGAGAAACATGAAAGAGAAACTCCTCTGCTGCTGCCGCACCCTTGTTGGGTGCTGGGGTGGGGGAACGTGTCTGTTCCTACTGCAAAGACACAAAATCTACTCGCACACAAAGGATTTGCAAAATGAGAGCTCATATTGTGAATAAAATCTCTTCTTCCTGGCTCCACCTTCCAGCCAATTAGCAAAAATGTGTACTCTTAAACCACACTATTAAACACTTTTTGTAACCAAAATTCATGGTTAACTTTTTGTGAAGAGGAATAGGTGCATTTTCATGAATAATGTATCCCATCACACAGCTATTACCAACTACAAAGACAACAACAATTTAATTTAAAAGAGAAATTTCATTAACTGATTTGTTCTTTAAAACACAGCTATTTGTTAGCAAATTCTGTTAATACTTTGTTTACACAAAAACTGTTCAAAGTCCTGGGGGGGGTGGGGGGGGTGGTGGTGTGGTTTTTTTTTTTTTTTTAACTAATGGCTTTAAAGTTTCAGATTGAACATGAACATCCCAGATCTCAGCGAATGCAATCTAGATTCAAAGCAGAATGTGGACACCCACTTCTAAGTATCTGTCAACTTTTCCAAATATAATTTTAAGGAAAACGTGGAGTCTCATTAAGATTTAGAAATCAAAGTATCTAATAATTTTCCTATATGTGAAAGAAAACTGCTCTCAAAGTGGTTTGTACCCTAACTTGTCTAAGAAAGTTGAAAAAAGAACCAAACCCAAGAATGGTTCAGTAGTTAAGTCCAGCTGAGGCCTATCCAAAGTACTGATTCTGCTTTCCTTCAGCTTTATTCTTCCAGTTTAGCACTCTTTTTTTTTTTTTTTTTTTTAAAAAAAAAAAAAAAAGCAATTCCGCGAGACTTTTTTTTTAAACAAAAAGTGGTATTTAGCTAATACATTAACACAGCGGACTTCACCAGCCGGTGAACGACTCCGTTAGTTTCCAGATGTGAACACGGCTCCCAGAGGGGGGATCGCCGGCGTGGGGCGAAGGGCGCACTCCCGGCCGGAGCTCCAGCTGCGGGGCGGCCGTGCCAGGGAAAGGCAACGGCAGCATTTGGCTCCGCAGCGCGGGGTCCCTGAGCGGCCGATCTGCGCTGACAGTCCCCGCGTCCCAGGGGGATATCCGCCCGGCTGCCCTCGGTGCCGATCCGCGACGCCCCCGCCCCGCCCGGTTCGCTCCGGCCCGGCCCGCTCTCACCTCAACAAGCGGCCCGGAACCTGCCCGCCCCCCGCGCCGGCCGCCGCCATRTCAAGGCCGAGCGCGGCCCTTCCCGCTACGGGCCGCGCCGAGGCTCAAACATCGCCGCGCCGCCCGGGCGCGGCCCGATAGAATTATGAAAATCCCAACCAACCAACCAACCAAGCAACAACCCCAACCAAACCTATAAACAACGTCAACTGGTGCTGAGGCAGAGAATCGGGAAAACTGTGTTTGAATTAGATTTGCAAGGCAGACTGAGCTCTCCCCATCCTCTATTCCGGTGTGACTCATGCACTTCGTTGGCCTCGGAGTGCCTTTCTCCACACTCGCTGCTGGAAATTCACGTTTTAAATTGGCCCGTGAGGGCCGATGAGCAAATAGCGGGAAGGTTCTGGATCACAGTAACTCCAGGCCCTGGCTGAGAGCGGCAAAACAWGAGGAGTTTGACTGAAGGTCGAACAGCTGCTGCTCAGGGGCTCTTTGAACTGCAGGTGGGTTCTCGGCTCCTGCGGAGACACCTCCTTTGTTGCTGTAATCCTTCATCACAACCAGCACCTTCTATCCCTAGTCAAGAAGKACCAGGGCAGCCTAAACTTCTACTTGCCCGTCTGTCTTTCCTGACTCGATTATTCAGACAAAAACAYCCATCACCCCCAAAAATATTACACCTCCGAATTTTAGATAAAAGTGGCTCAAAGGCCTAAAAGTTACACGGGTTAAAAATAATGTTAAACAAAACCAATTAACCCCCCAAACAAACAAACAAAAKCCCAACAAAACAAAAAATCCACAAMCTTAAGAGGTTTTTCCTTTAACAAACACTACAGTAAACAGTTACCTAGTGAAGGTCACACGCTTCAGATGCTTACATTACCAGCATCATGGACAACATTTCAGTGGCTCTGTATCTGTCCAGCTGTGATCTAGTTATATTCCTCAAGCAACTATGGAAACTTCTTGGTGAATATTTTACTTAAAAAGCAAAATAACCCAACTAAATTTCTGTGCAAGTTTGTGAAAACTTTCTGAAAAAACACCTTGCTATTCTACAGGTCAAAAACAATTGAGGGAAACAGAAATAGGAAAAGTGAGCAAAAAACCTGCTGGTAATTCATGGAGCTATGATTAAAAAGCCTAAGAAATATCTCACTTTTAAGCAAGTCAGCAAGTGTCCCTGATGCAGGAACAGACAGAAAGGATCTGCAGGAAGCAATACTGAGTTCAGCTGTGAAATATTTACTCATCTTCACTGTCACTTAAGAGACCACAGTATACCAGGTAGAATGTGCAGTGCTAGGAAAACACTTCAATTCTGCAGAAATCCAGACTTCCTAAAACCTGTACCTGAGTTGGGAGCCTTGAATTTCCAGTTCTTTGGGTACGTTTTCCCATGGCCATCCTTTCCCCAACACCTTTAGTATTCCAAATCACAAATGTAGAAAGACACAATAAAGATTTCAAAGGGGCAACATACAATGGGTGTTGCAAAAATATTTCAGTGAGATAAAGAAAAAATTAAGAACACGTAGAGAGAGATAGGAGGAAATGCATTAGAAAGTGGTCACATCCTAGGTGGGCAGGCAAAGCAAGATGATTACAGAATCAACTGGAGGAACTTCAAAAACTCTTCTGAAAAGCAAAGACCACAACTGAGATGTAGAAGCTGACATTGAGGTACCAAATTTAATATCTATACAGGTTCTAAAATAAACCCAAGACAACTATCCCCTTGAAAATAAAATAGCGTTGCATTGATTTCACTGGATTTCAGCATAAAGAGATTGCACAGAAAGGAAAAAGAACAACTCTACCCCAAAGAATTCTTAAAAATGTTTTGAGTTTTTCAGGTTTTTTTTTTTAATAAATGTGCTTTGTTCACAAAAGTAGTGACATAAAAGACAACAGAAATGCCAATACAGATTTTCTTCCTTTTCTTCTCCAGCACCTTAAGAATGAAAGATCTCTTGCACAGTCATAATTTTCAAATATTTCATAACCTAGAAATGAACTTCTTGCACCAAAGCCAAATATACAACAACTCCTGATATCACCAGTTTATTACAGGGAGGTGTAAGTATTTATGTAAATCCCACTTTCCTCCTCCACCACAATCTATTGTCTCTTGTTAAAAAACCCAACACAAACCAACCTAAAATAGAAAAAAACCTCACAAAGCCAAATAACCAATAAACCCACTTCAGGTATTTAGAATGATCAGCAAGAAAACCAAGCTGTTATGAATCTCAGGTCCCTAAACCACAGTGTTGTCACCAACCTCCCGAAGAGGATTAAACTTCAAGATATTTTGGGGGGTAAATCTTGATCTGAATTGCTTTTTTTTTTTTTGTATGAATCACAAACTAAGTATAGTAATCAATGCCAACATGTATTTTTGATTGTTTAATACTTTTAAATCAAGTATCATTARAAGTATCAGGTACACTTTGAAGAATGCACATATTAACTTCCCATAAACAGCTTAATTTACACCAGCAATATTTTAACATGAGCACTGCTGGAATCAGTGGTTAATTGGGAAGAAAGGCTTTGAATGACACTTTAATGAAAATACTATCTTAAAGCCAATTTTGAAACCATTTTGTATTTCATTAGAGCAGCATTCTCTGTAACAAATATTACAAGTGAACCATGACTCTTGTATGTCTATTTTTTTCTTTTTATACATCAGAATATAATTGTTTGGTTTGTACAACTCTATCATTCAGATTGAATAACAGATTTGAATCAGGTATTCAGGAATGCTTTAAATTCAAGAAACAACAGAAAAAGCTTATGTTGAAGAATACAGCACCACGGTCCAGTTACACCACCAATGTGTAATTGGACCAATGCAATTATGTAGGAAATACTATAAAAGAAAAACAGGTAGGTCAAACTGTGCCACATTCAGTGCAAAACTTCAGTGGAAGGAGTAAGTTTTATTTTTGTAGCAATCACTGTAAAATCCACACTACAACTTCAATTTATCTAGCAACTTCTGTATTATAAACACRATGTGGCAGTTTAACATGGTGTAAAATGTATTTAATCACAATAACCTGTGAAACTGTATTAGTATGTTTTTACCAATTTTCAGAAGTCAGAAATAAATCATGATGTAGCATCTAGTTCAAATAATTTACTATTAGGCTCTTACATATATATTTAAGAGCCTAACATTCAAATCTGAAAATTCTGGCCATTATTTTTAAATGGAGGGAATTCCAAGCTAAATTAATAACGAATGCTCTTTAACCACTGAACAGAACTAGTTTTTCCTGCAAAARTTCACAGATTCATTACACAAGTTAAAAACTTAACAGGTGTAAAAACAGATGTTCCATCTCCTTACAGTGCAGATCAGTTTTCAGTCACCTATGGAGTTTTTATTTAACTAAACAGAAAACGTTTGGGTCCTAATAAGCAAACAAAAAGTGTATGTTAACTTGATTTGTATGGTATGAATTACATGGCTTGATGCAAATATGTGTATCCTTGAAAAACTTGTAAGATTATGTTCCTTTTTACAAAATCAGTTTGTAGTTACTGGCTAACTTAGGAGGTCTACAAATAAGGACAATTCAAGAAAAAGTTGTTTCTTTTTAAAATGCATAAATAATTTACTTTAAAACATGACAAAACCCACCCTGTTCCCCAAAAAACACAGTTGGAAGAGAATACAGAACACCATGGTTGGGGAAATACTGATATATGTTAGTGCTTGTACACTCATAAAACTGCAAAAATATATTCCAACTTTGACGTGAAACACAATAGTCTAAACGTACCATACTCYTCTGGGGGGAAAGCCTCTTCAGAAATTCCTGTTTATGCAAAGAAATTACACAGTATGTATAACCATGGATGAATATATTCCAGTGTTTTGGTGTAATGTCAAGAGGGCTGCAATAAATGTAAAATCAAATGTGCAAGCATTGTAGTTTCTCCAGCCTGGGCTTAACCAGTGTGAAACAAATTTTGGAAGAAAAAAGTTTTGTTCCATAATTAAGAAGGGACCTTTGTAACCAAGTGTCTTAACCTATCTGCACATTTAATTAAAGTGCAAATTATTTCTTCCTACATATACTTCTCAGAAGCTCACCAACTCCAGTGCCTTAAGCTCAACCACATTGAGTAAAAATACTGAAACAACATTTAACAAATTAAATAGAATTCACACTTCACAGCACTAAAGAAAAGAACGGTACCTTTCTGGAAAAAAAAAATAGTGATACAAATCTAAAGAAAGTAACAGCAATTTATGCTATGACATGAGTCATTTGCATAAAACTTGTATTTTTTCACTTTCATACAAGAATAAATTTTAAAATTCAAAAGTAGAAAAAAATAGCAAACTCTGTAAACCTTTGCATTTTCTTTATGCAAACCATTTTTCTGTGTTGAGCCCATGTTAGTATAGCAAAATTAGTTAAGCAAGAGGTTTGACTGAAAGGGCATTTCAACGACTACATTAACTTAGAAGCAATATAGGATCTTCTAGCTCATAGAAAGGAATAGAACTAGACTGGCTCTCTCCAGAGTCTGAGTCATAAGGAGCATCAGGTAGCTCCATAAAACCATAAGCTAGCTGTTCATCTTCTGTGTCTGACCGAACATAGCAGGAAGTGCTGGAATACTCCTCATCCTCTATACTGTTGAAATCCTGTGGGATATACAACATTCCTGGGTAGTTCCTGCTAACTAAGTCACTTGTTGTTTGCAGGGAAGTTTTCCTAAATGCCATCAGGTGCATGTGAGAAAACTTGGAATACTTGAAGCGTTTAAAACCCAAGGACTCTATGGCAATTTTCCAGCTTTTCATCATCATAGCCCGCCGATTCTGATGAGATGAATCAGGAGTTATTACAAGCAATAAGCCATTTAATACAAGAAGTTCATGTGCCTTCTTGCAGCATATCCATCGTTGATAGGGTGA